GAAGCTAAAATCACCGCACTTATTGTATATGTGGACGATATGGTGGTGACTGGAAATGATCCTGAAGAATGCAAAGCCCTTCAAAACTACTTGTTCAAGGAATTTGAAATAAAAGATCTTGGACCTCTAAAATATTTTTTAGGGATTGAAGTGTCTAGATCAGCTAAAGGAGTTTTCTTGTGCCAAAGGAAATATATTTTAGATTTACTGAAGGAAACAGGTATGTCTGCTTGCGAACCGATTGATACACCTCTTGAAGAAGGATTAAAGTTATCTGTTGAAACTAATCAGGTTCGCGTCGATAAAGGAAGATACCAAAGACTTGTAGGAAGGTTGATGTATCTGGTGCACACAAGGCCAGACCTTGCCTACGCCTTAAGTATTGTTAGTCAATTTATGCATAATCCAGGAGAGCAACATATGAATGCAATTATGCGTATTTTAAGATATCTTAAATCTGCTCCAGGAAGAGGTGTTTTGTTTAAAAGAAATCGAGATCTTGGATGTATAAATGTTTATGCAGATGCTGATTGGGCTGGATCTCTAGATGATAGAAGATCTACTTCAGGTTACTTTACTTTTGTGGGAGGAAATCTTGTTACATGGAGAAGCAAAAAGCAACATGTTGTTGCTCGCTCAAGTGCCGAAGCAGAATTTAGAGGTATAGCACTTGGTTTATGTGAAGCATTATGGCTAAGATTTCTCTTGTCCGATTTGGGTTATCCCCCTAAGCAACCAATCCAACTGTATTGTGACAATAAGGCTGCATGTGATATTGCGCACAATCCGGTCCAACATGATCGTACTAAACATGTTGATTTGGACAGGTTCTTCATCAAAGAAAACTTGGATGAAAAGATACTAGAGTTACCAACGATTCGATCTGATGACCAATTGGCAGATGTTCTTACTAAAGCGGTTTCAAGTCGAGTTCTTGCAAAGAGTGTAGACAAGTTGGGAATGTACGATATCCACGCACCAACTTGAGGGGGAGTGTTGAGATTTCTCTTGAGATATTATATACGTAATTATAGGGATACTTATCTATGTAAAATAGGAAAAATATAAAATAGAATCTTTAATCATAGAACATAGCTAATCTGTACCTTTTATCATGTCAATATATAGTCTGCTATGTATGAAACGTGATTTGATATTGGAGAAATAAAAACCCAGAGAGTTCTCTTATTAAACTAAAGGTTCTTGTGGTATCGATAATTAAACTTACCCTCCTGAAACATAGTTATAAACTCTAATGAGATAATGCATTGGATACGTTATTCCAATAGAGTTCTAATGAACTATTACTTTTGCATGTATTTTTTGCTTCAAGTTTTTTTCCCACGGATCCTTTGACGGGTCTTCTTCATGAACGGATATTTTTGGTCCCTTCTAAGTCACAATCCAATGATCCCACAAGCGTCATTTAAGCTTTGTCCACACTAAGTCGGACATATCTTCGAGCTTCTAATCGAATGCGAGATCCAAATTCTGCAATACCAAAAGACATAGGACTTCATCAAATCCCGAAATTATTTGTCCCGTCAAATTTTGAAACGTCAAAGCCGGAACTATACACCTGTTATTTAGGATTTCATTTGTTAGAAGATTCACCACTTGTCTTTTTGTCTTATGCAATCTATAAATAAATATGTTTCCACATACTTTTTTTAATTTTTTTTTTTAATTTTTGTTTTTTTGAAATTAAATGCCACTAATGCAAATGTGACTGGACCAAGAAAGATGTCACATTACACTTGCAAGACTTTGGAAGTCAGCTGGTACGAATACTTCAAGGAATTTTCCGCCGGTAGCATGTGTGGGCCGATTCCGTAATAATCGAGTTGACTCGTCGAGGCGAACGCAACTCCAATATTGAAAATAATTCCAAGAAAATACCAATACTCCTAAATATTCTAAATCTTGGCGCCCTGATACCAATTGTTGCGCATAGTGGAAGTAATAACATAAATGACAATTCACACATAAAAATACGAAAACCAAACGAGACACGAGATTTAATTTACTCGGTTCGGAGTGGCAACCAAGTATTTATTCAAATGCTACAATTTTTTTTACGAAGTGTTCAATTAAGTATTCCTCACAAGCGTCTCTCGATTTTCTCTCTAACTTTATGCACATTTTCAACAACACTATTTATAGTCACAAGTAGATGAATTTAGAAGGTGTTGAAAACACCAACCATAATGTTAGGAGAATTAACCACCACTTTGACTAGAGTGTATTATGGGAAAGAGAAATTCGGCAATTTCAAACATGAATATTATGATATAGTTTGGGCAAATTACGGCCATCCCTGATGTATGGTCAAATTACGAAAAAAACCCTCTTGTTTAGGTAATTACAACCACCCCTCCTTTTAAATATTTTTACGTAAAATTTATGTAATTCGGTTATTTGCCGAACCAAATCGTATATTTTGTTCGGTAAACGGTATGAAATGTTGGCGTACCGAAATTTTTGTCCAGTTTTACCGAATTAACAACCCTAAATTTACCTCTGGAGGGGTCTTTTCGTAAGATAAATACATAGTTGAGGGGGTGGCTATAATTACCCAAACAGGAGGGGGTTTTTGTAATTTGACCATAGCTCAGGGGGTGGCCGTAATTTGCCCCATATAATTTTAGCCGGATGGAAAATCAAACGGATTAGATCGATATTATAGATGTGAAAAAGTAATTTCAATTGCTTTACAAAAAAAATTCGACACATTAAACTTTTGGAAAATAGAATGAAAAAACTTATTTGAAAATTGAATTTTTTTGGGTCCAAATTGATTTCTTTATTGACCTGTAAAGTAAAATATGCATACTACTCACTATTAACATGATAAATGTTATTTTTGGAATAAATTAAAAGTATTAGAATTATTTCTGGAAATCAAAATTGGATCTAAAATATTGCTTAGAAAGGAAAGATCACAAATAATTTTTTGGGCAAAATACACTTTACCCCCTTGTACTATTTTCTATGTAACACTTACCCCCTCGTACTATGAAAAGTACACTTACCCCCTTATTTTAACGGTCAACATATTTGACTCTTAACGGTGTTAGAAGTAAAATAAATTTAATATATTTTTAATAATCCTTACTAAAGGAACATTTTCTTTATTTAAAAAAATATCACACGTACTATAAATATATTAAATAAATATTTAAGATAGCAATTCCTTTTTAAATTTTGAATTAAATATAATTTACTTGATAAATATTTATATTAAAAATTAATATTTAGATAATATATTTTTTCATATATTATTTTATACAACCAAGTAGCAAGTATAATTTTTCATATTTTGGATTAAATTATTTAACTCATCAAACATTGTGTACATTGAATTTTTAATATTTATTTATAACATTAAATTCCGTATAGTGAATCCTAAATGTAAAAGGCTTAAGTGAATTTTGATGTTACAAATAAATAAAATAAATCATTAGCATATATCGTTAAAAAATATTACTGTAGAATTATAATTTTTAATATAAATATTTAATGATTAAATATTTTAATCCTATATTTAAAAATGTATACATGATAAATATTTATTTAATATATTTATCCACAATGAAAATATATTTTTTTAATAAAAATAAGGTGTCATTTCTTATGAATTATTAAAAAGTAATAATAGTTTTCTTATTTAATCAAAATTTAAAAATATTATTATCTTACATATTTATTTAATTTATCCGTACTACATGTAATATTTTTTTAAATAAAAAAATGTGTCATTTAGTAGGAATTGTTAAAACTATATTAAATTTATTTTTCTACTAACACCGTTAAAAGTCAAATAGTTTGACCATTAAAATAAGGGGGTAAGTGTATTTTACATAGTACGAGGGGGTAAGTGTTACGTGAGGCATAGTACAAGGGGGTAAAGTGTATTTTGCCCTAATTTTTTTCCCCCAAAATCAAGACTATTAATATCTTTCTTAACTATTGTGTAACAAACCTTAAACACCACTTAATATGAAAAGGTTGTATAGCTTTTGGTTTTGATTTTTTAATTTTCCAATGTGATAAATTAATTTCAATTGCTTTACAAAAAGAATCGACGCACCGAAATTTTAGAAAATAGAATGATTTTTTTTTTCTTCCAAAAAATAGAAAGAATTTATTTCTCCAAACTTACGAAAATTGATTTCTTTATTGACGTATAGAGTAAAATAAATAGTTATAGTCACATGATAAATGTTATTTTTGGAATAAACTAAAACTATTAGAATTATTTCTGGAAATCAAAATTGGATATTAAATATTGCCTAAAAAAGAAAGATAGTAAATATTGGAATTCAGAATGAAAAATATTATTAAGAAATAAAATAAATTTTAGATTAGAATCGACGGAATTCCGAATTCCAATTTTGTAATTTGGTCTTCGGTGTAATCAATTGGAGTAATTATCGATTATCTTATTTCCATTTCCGTGTGATACTGATACAGATAAAGATACTAATACACTAACCCACTAAACCGGAGAAAAAAGGCCAAATCCAAATATGATATTCTCATAATTAATATTTAATAATAATAATAATAATGGTAAATTACAAACACCCCCTGAGGTATGGTCAAATTACAAAAACACCCCTCTTGTTTGGATAATTACAATCACCCCCTCAACTCATCAAATTTAGTGGAATTTTCGAGATTATATGGAATATTATCACTTTTGTACCCGTTTTATCCCATTCAAACTCTACATTATGAAGCAAGATGATCATAATATGTGATTTTTAACTTGTATATATCAGTTTGTGGTGCATCGGAAACTGTATTTTTTACACAAAAAGAGTACAAACTAGAGCACATTTCACGAAATCTAGATAGCTATGTTGAATTTGGCACCATAAAGGTGGAGGTCTAAGAAAAAATCATAGTTGAGGGGGTAGATGTAATTATCCAAACAAGAGGGTATTTTTTGTAATTTTACCATACCTCAGGGGGGTGTTTGTAATTTACCCTAATAATAATAATAATCCGATCAATATCCAAAAAAAGAAAAAGAAAATACAAAAATGGAAGAAAAAGAAGCGATCTTCATGTGTTGTTAATGGCGGTTCGCGGCTCGTACACGCTCCCCTTTCTCAATCTCTGTTCGTCAGAGATATTTTCAGTTTTCGCATTTTTACCCTTCAGGTACCGTTCAATTTACCTTTTCCTCTCTCTTCTTCATCTCGATTGTACGTATTCATCAATACTGTATAATCCGATTGCAATTCTCGCAATGCTGTAATCATTTTCGTTTCGAAGAATTTCACGGATTTTTTTATTTAAGTAATTCGTGTGCTATTATTATTTTATTTTATTTTATTGAAATTAGATCTGATTTTTCCCAAATTTTGTTTGTTTCTAATTTTCGAGGAATATTCGTGTCATATTCTTCTATGAGTGATTGTTTATTTTGTATTCGTTTTTGGTGTAATTGTGGATTTTAATTGATGATTTATGAATGTGTTTATATAGTGTAAGAAGCTGAGGGCTTGAGTACATAATACAGACGAAAAACGGAGAGTAGGTTTTGTTTAGGTGATGTCTTTTGACGGAGACGTAAAGCAATGGAAATGTGTAAAGGGAAGTCAAGTGAATTTTCAGAGAGTGAGTTCGATTGTTCGGGATATCGGGGAGCCTTGTCTTCATCAATCACCTATAAAGGTTGTGTTGGCTGTAAGAATTTCTGCGTTTTGCTTTTATGTCGTATATAATGTGGTATGATACTAATATCTAAAAATTTGAGTTCGTTTCGTTGTTTTTTGTTCTTGAACTCCTTGTGATGAATCAGTTCTGTTTGTATGCTGTTTCAGTTGCATAATCTTCGAAACATGTGCACTTGGTATGTGATTTAAAACCTTTAAAAACTTTAGTACATAAGTAAATAAATAAAGCTGGATTGATATGAATCAATAGCTTTATTAAACATTAGGCTAAGGTTCAAGAATCGGCATAGAGTCGGCTTTTTTGCTACATAATAACTTTGTTCTTACATAGTAGATGCATTAGATAGAACAATCTTATCACTATTACTTGTAAGTAACTGTATTTGGGGTTTCAAAAACGATAAAAAAAATTTGGATTGACCAACTATGTCTATAGGTTAATTATGAAGAAACTAGTACTTAAATTTGAAAATTTTGCAACTAAAGGTACACAAAAAGTTCTAAGTTCAATGTGGATGACCGAATTTCTTAAAATAATGCTATGAAAATTTTATTTGCTTAAATACGGCATTTTAGAAATGAAGACAGATTAGTAGCCGAATCCGTAATTTGTTTTTTTACTTATTTATTGGGAAACAATAGGCTCTTTAGTCTTTAGTGATTACATCCTCATTATTGAATCTATTGCTTTACTTAGATTTTGATGTTTCTCGTATAGGAAAAAAGAGACCTGTTTTATAGTTGCAAAAGATAACTTTTCATCTCTTGGTTTTCATTTTATCATATTGATATCTTTTTCAATCACACATTTCTCCATTTTATAGCATACAATTAAGTTTGGACCAAAAAAAAGAAAAATAGAATAACCAATTGTATTGTTCTTGAACAATCTTATGAAGGTGTTTAGGGTGAACATAGGTTTGGTTGTTCTGTGATTTGGACAGAACAATTTTATGTGATATATGTCATCTGTTTGATCTATAATAGCCTTTTACTTGGTGTGAATCCTTCAGGAGGTTTATTCATTTATGGTTTTCATTCTTAAAATGAACCAAAGATTACTACATCTTCCCTATACATTTTTCTTCCACAAAGTTTTTGCTTCCCCCATAAGATCCTAATCATTACGAACTCACCACCAAAATAAACCAAAACACGTAACATTCTCTTAATGTATGGAAAGGAAAAAGGGTCTCGCATAAGGCTATTGAGCCTATTTCTGTTGCATGTTAATCCCTACCTAAACAATAAATGCTTGATTGGTAATACAAATGCTAAACAATAAGAAGCACTATTGAGCTATATTGCAGTTATTTTAATCATGTTATTGTTTCTATGGGGAAATGAATGTTGGATTTTATTTTTATGTTTCGTATTCTAGTTTAGTAAACTATGTTTTGAGGATGGTCATGATATTCATATAGAACCTTTTCCTTTTTGGAGTCATAATACAGATAAACAAAATGCTTAAGCCAGATAAGTGGCAGGCAACCTTTGACAGTGATGGAAAGCTTTTTGGTTTTCGGAAAGTGTTGAAGATGATTATTCTGGGGGTAAGGTCTTTTACTTCAGGTTGTCGTCTTCCCTTTTTCTTTCTTGTTTACAATAATTGCCATCCCACAAAGTAGAAGTCATGTTATGTGAAATAGCTTTTTTCTCCCTGAACTCAAGCTTAATATTGCTCTGTTCCTAAAATCCATTTGAAGGTTAAACCTTTTGAGGCTGGGAAATACCTCTGTAATCTTATAACTTACAAAGAACTACAGTGTGCTGCACTGCTAATCATAAAAAGTGTCGTACGAAAACACCTGTAAGATTGCTGATATGGCCATGTGTTCCAGACTTATTATGAAGTCGATTGTATGAAAAAACCATCTGATTTCAAATGAAAAGGATTGATGTAACTTACTTATAACTTGAGAAACCAATACGTATGCCAGTTGTTGTTTCATCAGAGTGATTCAACCATGGTGTTGCTCTGATGATAATTTAACCTAGTCTTATTTTTCATGTCTTATTCTTGCAGTGCTTCGTTGATAACTTTTATGAAGTTGATTTTACTTTTAGTTATGTTTATGTTTCCTTTTGGTGGGAACTATATTCAGTCGTCCTGAATTCTTGATGTACCATGTCTTTGATTTTACTGAAGATAAGATAAAGTTTTTCCTCTTTCCATTGTACAAAGAAACCTAGTATTATCAGTGCTAAAAGCTTATTTCTTGCATGACAGGGTGTGGATCCGTCCATAAGGTCTGAAGTCTGGGAATTCCTTTTGGGTTGCTATTCTTTGAGCAGCACTGCCGAATATCGTTCCCAGTTAAGGACAGCTAGAAGGTAATGACAATACTAAACTCTGATTTTGTAGATTACTTCTTATCGACTTTGTTTTGGCTTCTTTGCTTTGTACATAACTTTCATAGGGCCTCCAATATTAATTTCAGTTGTCCTCTATACAAAAAATTCACATCTCAGTGAAATAGTGAACATCATAATCAAAATATCATGGAAAATAAAACTGAGTGCGCGAGCCACAAAAAATGGGGTCATCTGAACATCTGAAACATATGTTTTTATTCCCTATTTTCATTTTAGACTATGGAATAGAAGTCTGTGGGCATTTTGAGAGGGCAAACAATCTCTTAACTGAATATCTTGTTCAGCTGGATCTAAAACACCAAACTCATGTAATCATTGTCTTGTGTATTTTTTTGAAAGAGAAATGGTGATGATGTTTCGGGTCCAGTGATGGGATTATGAATTTTTTCCTTTCATGCATTTAGTTTCTTATACTAGTCTTTGTGTTGTTTTTTTCCGAAACTGTACTGCCCTCAGCAAACATGTTAATTTTGGTTTACATGCATCACTGGTAATAATACGTTGCTTTCCAATCTGGTTTTTCACCATGCGGTTAATTTCAATTATTATGTAGGAATTTTTTCATGAATCAGATTTACTGGGAAATTTATTTTGCTTTTGCTTATGATGTCAATATATAGTATTCACCAAGTGAATGAATTCTCCAGTGTCACTTTGGATGCATTCGTTTATTTCTGATCTTGGTTCACTCAAAACGTTTTTTAGGGTTCGATACAGAGACCTTGAGAAGCAATGTCAAATGATGCACTCAAGCGTAGGAACTGGTTCGTTGGCGTATGTTGTTGGGTCTAAAGTCATGGACATGAGGATGAGTTCCAAAGAAGATGAGGGAAAGGAAACTGAAGTCCAAAGCGAACGAAATTCTGAAGCAACCAGTACTGCCAAAATAAACGATGACAATGTTTTGAATAGCAAATGTACAGATAAACTTAATGCACGTCGAAAAGAAAGCTCAAGTGATTCTGGTGACTTTGTATGTGTTCGAAGAAGCACCATGGGAGGAGCTTACGATTCCTCTGGTCTTTTACCTTCTCCTGATCCATGCGATGACATTTCTCCCACTGGACACGGACCAGATGAGTCAGATTTTGCAGCTGAAAGTTATTTGGATTTTCCTGCTTTACCTGTTCTAGATTTGTTTGAAGAGAATACCAGAGATAGAAAAGTACTTAGGTTACATGAAGACAAATGCTCAACGCGACGTAAATTGAGATATGAAGATGAACATATGCACAGTTTTCAGATTAACAATAATGCGGATCTTGTTGTGGAATCACATAATTTACCATCTAATGATGTCTCGTTACATTGTAATTCGAAAAGTGAAATAACTCATCCTGACATACACGAATATCAAGCCGAAGAAATGATCGATAGCCTTAGAGTATCAGATGCACCCGTAATACCACCCAAATATGCAACAAAGCCCCAAGGAGCAAGTGCTAGTGATGACAAAGTGTCTGAATGGCTTTGGACACTGCACCGAATAGGTAACAAGTAAATACATTTTCCATTCTATTGTATATACCAAATCGCCAGAACCAAAAAGTGCCTTTATTACCAGTTGCTGGGGATTGTTTATTTATTTGTTTAGCTTACAACTATTTTTCTTATTATTTGTTTTGCAGTTGTTGATGTAGTCAGAACAGATAGCCATCTCGAGTTTTACGAGGACACAAAAAATTTAGCTCGGATGTCGGATATTCTTGCTGTCTATGCATGGGTTGATCCTGCAACAGGATATTGCCAAGGTTTTGTCCGGTTTTATTTTATTTATTTATTTATTTTTTATTTTTTATTTTTTCTCATTGAAAATTTCGTCTGATTATTTCATTACCAGTTATGGCGATGAACGATGACATTGACTTTGGATACTTGCTGATTTGCAGGCATGAGTGATTTATTATCCCCCTTTGTTGTTCTCTTTGAGGATAATGCCGATGCTTTTTGGTGCTTTGAGATGCTTTTAAGAAGAATGGTATATATGTATCATAGTTATGTTTAAATGACTCTTCCTTTGCCATTTTCTGCTTTTCTTTATTTTGCTGTTATTCTTCAGCGCGAAAATTTTAAGATGGAAGGGCCAACTGGTGTCATGAAGCAGTTGCAAGCGCTCTGGCATATACTAGAAATCTCAGACAGGGAGATGTTCACTCACTTGTCCCATATTGGTGCTGAAAGTCTTCACTTTGCTTTTCGTATGCTGCTTGTACTCTTCCGTCGCGAATTATCTTTCAATGAAGCTCTTCGTATGTGGGAGGTCTGTAAAAATTATGCGTCTCGTTTATTTTAATTCTATAATCAAAAAGTCGTTGGGCTTTAGTTTAATATCAGCATATCGTAGAAAGTCAATGCACTTAGACTTGAACCAACAACGCTATGGGAATCTAAGGCAAGCATGTTGCTTTGTTTATGAACACCTGCACAATCATGGTAGCATTCACATGATAAAGATGGATTAGTGAGATGGTTGAGATCTTTAAAGCTGTTGTTTGAAGATGTGCATCTAAATCGAGAAAATATGTGACTAATGAAGAAGAATTGAGGTTTCGGACAATTAAGTGTCAATATCATAATATCTTGAGGTTGCTACTCAGCCTACCTTGACTCGGACAATTAAGTGTCAATATTATGGTTGCATGAGAGTAGTTTATGCGGTTGATAGCTGTCAATAAGATATTTACAACATGTAGATGGCAAATTAAGACGCTTTTTTTCTTGTGTTGCAGTCACCCAACCTTGGCTTCGTGCATGGATTGTTTTTATTTGCAGATTGACGTTTTTATTTTCAGTTCATGCTTTCCAACTTCTCTCCCGACTACTAAAGGCTTTTGCATCTCAATTTTTATGTATAAAAGCACCGTATCTTTTGTTAGATTAAGAATAAAAATGTACACGGTAAAATTTTACTAAGAATAAAAATGTACACGATAAAATTTTAATTGTCTGTTCTTATTGAACAAAACAGAACCTTGAGCATTGCGCACTATGGATAATCAAAATTGTTATTTGGAGCCTGACCATAGGATTCAACTAAACGAGTCCATTTGGTGTATTGCAAGAACTATCTTAAATTAACTGAATGGATAATATGGTCTCAAGAACAATATCAATCAAGTCCCGTCATAGATAATTATTCAAATCTCTTGATAGTTGATATTGCTTGTGTACATATGTCAAACTTTTATGCAAAATATAATCTTGTGTAACGAATTTGCTGATTTTTTTTGCTGTGTTTCTTTCATACAGATGATATGGGCAGCTGATTTTGATGTATCCTCGACAGTTGTTCTCGATGAGAACTGCCCGGAAATATTGGCTATACAGTTACCTAAGGAAACAGAGGCTGAATCTGGAGAAGAAAGCGTTGAGTGTAATAACAGTGTGGGCCCCAAAAGTGGGTGTCCATCAAAGCATGCAACTGTGGAACGTTCCATATCTGACAACACAGGAATCAGACCAGTAGCAACTATACCATTTTGTGGCTTGACCAAAACTTTCTGGTCAAGGAATGACCGTTTTCAGATTCGTACTCTTGTGTCTTCGACAAGAAACGGTGATGATGAATTGCCCGTTTTCTGTGTGGCAGCTATTCTCATCATGAATCGTCAGAAAATCGTCAGAGAAACTCATTCGATTGATGACTTAATCAAGGCATGTGGTGATTATGTTTTATTATCATTCTTTCTAATTCTGCTTCGTTATTTTAAGCCATGCATTTTGTTGATAAAATGAAATTCATGAGTTTACCCTTTTTTGTGTTATATTGAGAAATTTATTTGTTGAAATTTGTAATTTATCGATCGCAACTGTTATTTATACTATTTTCTCTGTTGACTGGCACTAATTTAGGTCTTAATTAAGGATATTATTTGTTGAGTTTATTAAATCAAAGGTAGTGAAAATTTATCCTAGCCTAATTTAAGGTTTTACCCTCCTGCTGCCATTTTTTCTCAATCATTATTTTTCTTGCATTTGGGAGTATACTAGCCTTGTGTCACTATTCTTTTTTAATCGCTCACATCTTATTGTGAAATATTTTGCAGATATTTAATGATAATATACTAAAGATCAGAGTGAAGAGATGTGTACGTACTGCAATCAAACTGCGGAAGAAATACTTTAACAAGGTTGGTTCGGTTAATTATGTATTCCGTTTTTCTCCTCTATCACGGTACCTTGTACGGCTGCATCATTCATGCTGGTTTTCTTGTATCCTATGTTTCTCTGGAATATATTGATGTTCTTGCTCGTATTTGTTTTGCCTGAATTTATAGCATTTCTACAAATTTTGAAGCGTTAGAGTCACATATTCTTTGTTGTTTAGATAATATGTAGCGAACATAATTAAAATTTGAGGTGTGTAGTAACCTTGACTTTGTTCTCCATTCTTTCGTTCGTCTGTAGTGTGCTAATATTATACGCCCTGCCTGAAACAGCTAATCAAGAATAGGACTCCAGCATCTCAGAATGGCGGCAGTTAAATTCTGATCCTTGCTTTATGAGTAGACGAGAAAAATTGGTATTCCATTGCATCTGAGAGCTTGCGAATTGAATTTTTTTAACGGAACTATTTGTCATCATAGACTTGTATTTTGGAGAAAAAAGGCCATGCAGCTTTCGTGCTGCGATGAAGCATTCGACCTCCTTTTGAAGGTACTGTGTAACTCCAGTTTTCTTCCAAGTGACATTGTTTTCCTTTTTTTTTGGGGTAAATTACAACCACCCCTGAGGTATGATCAAATTACGAAAACCCCCCTCATGTTTGGGTAATTACAACCACCCCCTCAACTATAAATCTTCTTATACGTCCACCCTTGCGGTTTCAAATTTAGTGGATTTTCGAGATTATATGGAATATTATCACTTTTGTACCTGTTTTATCCCATTCGAACTCCACATTTTGAAGCAAGATGATCATAATATGTGTTTTTTGGCTTGTATTTATCAGATTGTGGTACATTAAAAACTGTATTTTTACAGAAAACGAGTACAAACTAGAACACATTCCACGAAATCTAGATGATTATGTTGAATTTGACACCATAAGGGTGGAGGTGTAAGAAAAAATCATAGTTGAGGGGGTGGATGTATTTATCTAAACAAGAGGGGTTTTTTCGTAAATTGACCATACCTCAAGGGTGGTTGTAATTTACCCTTTTTTTTTTCTCGATCTTTTAGTGGTTTTACTTTGTGGCTCTACAGTTGTGTTTTTTCGTGTTTACTTTTGCTCATCTGTGTGATGTACAAAATCCTTAGTTTTTTCTACCGCTCGTCATTTACACATTCTGATTTTCATATCTTCATAAAATAACTTCTTTCATCGATAAACACGGTTCTCCGCTGCTGTGTGTGAAATGATACTTTATAGTATTTTATTTGAGATAGATTTTCTCTTCGTCCCGATAGATTAATAATGCCCGATAATAATCTTAAACCTATTTGAATTTACCAAATTGCCTCAAATCAAATTAGTTACGTTCGTTGTATTTTTGTTTTCTCCGTACTTCTGCGATGGTTTATCTTTTTCATCTTTGGCAGGCCTATTACGAAGTCTCGTGTTTTGCTTTGATTTGTCGCTTCAGAATGCCGATGCTGACATAGGTTAGATGATAGTAGTATAGATTTTTATGATTTATTTGTATACTTGAGGAGTGATTATCAGCAATTTTGATCAGAGATGAGTACTGTTACACATTAATTAAAATTTTATGTGCTCCATTTTTCTCTTACAAGAAAATCAATTGTGTAAAAAGATTTCAAATCTGGACTATATTATAAATTTTGTCCTACTTGATGTTGGGACTTGGGATTTAATTATTTGTTTGTGAAATTCTAAAAAACCGATCCTTGTCCTTTTTTCTGCAATGGTCGAATAAATGAATTGTTTTAGGGGTATAAATAAATAGTTGTTCTGAAAAGTGGCTGGGGGCCATGGCCCCGTGGCCCTTGAGTTGCATCTAGGGCCGGGATTGTGTTGGTTTTTATCCAACTACCGGTCCATTCTCGACCATATTTTTAGGCGAATAATAAATATATTATTGGATAAATTACGATCACCTCCTGGAGGTATGGTCAAATTATGAAAAAATCCCTCATGATTAGATAATTACATTCAATCCCTCAACTATGAATTTTCTTACGCGTCCACCTTTGCGGTGTCAAATTCAAACATAATCTTCTAGATTCCATAGAATGTTCTGTAGTTTGCACTCGTTTTGTGCAAAAATGTAGTTTTTGATGCACCACAATCTAATATCTATAAGCCAAAAGACAAATCTTATGATCATCGTGTTTCAAAATGTAGAGTTCGAAAGGGATAAAATGGGAATATTCCACGTAATTTAAAAAAATCCACTGAATTTGACACCAAAATGGTGAACGTGTAAGAAATTCATAATTCAGGGGAGGATGTAATTATCCAAACAGAAGAGTTTTTTTTTTTATATTTTAATTTAACCATACCTCAGGGGTGATGGTGATCGTAATTTACCCTATATTATTAATCAATTCATTGAATTGGCTCGTAAGTTTCAATCAACCCATCTATAATGGTTCGGTTCATGGTTTCTAATATCATTATATGTATCTATCTAAGTGTAGATCTGTAGCAGCTATTGGATTTGGATGAGCAATCAATAGATTGTGACCAAACTTAATTTAATATTTATTTACAGTTAATGAAAGGTTTCTCTCTATTTGATGGACAAATGTCACAAATTTGATGTACTAAATATTGAAATCATTATTACCAGGGAAACATCGGTCGTACCATATGATTCCCTGTTTATGATTCGATAGCCAACTCTCTATTATTTTAATAATTAATATATGCTAATCATAATATGGGACTTTACAAATTGTATTCACTCTTTTAATGAGAATTGAATTCCTTAATTCTGAATTCAATTAGAATAATTAGAAAAGTATCATAATTAAGTTTGTTAGTGTATTATTTTATTATAGAGGTACTTTATTTAGGGCTCATTGCAAATAAGTTCATCAATGGGTACTTATTCATAAAAAGATCCAGATAAAAAACTCATTTACCAATAAGTCCACACATGGTCCAGATTTTTGTAAATGACTAAAATAACCCCTCATACTTTAATATGCTCCAATTTCATCCCTAACTTAATTTAACTTCAATTTGACACCAAATTTCACAAATTATTCAATTTTGAACAATTTTTTTTTTCAAAAACTTTTTTTTTCCCGCCGGATTCCGGCGTTGACTTTCAAAACTTTTTTTTCTTCCGAATTATTTCGCCGGTTTCCGGCGTTGACTTTTTCGATTTTTTTTTTCTTCTTTCTTTTCTTTCTGTAACTTTTTTTTCGTTTAAACAACAATATTGCTGTGATTGACAGTAATATTAACTATATTACTGCTAAACACAGTAAAATTAACTAAACTACAGTTTAACACAATAATATTGCTATATTAATCTCTAGCACAGTAATATTAACACAACAAAACTCATTATTATTGTGTAATAGAATAATATTACTATGTTGACCGTTCAACAAATGTAAACATAATAGAAAAACAATTACATAAATGTTTTGTCAACGGCAGTACAATTAAGTTAATTAACTGTCATTACAGTATAATTACGTTAATTTACTGTCAGTAACAACACAATTACAGTCAACATTTAGCGGCGGACGTAAAAAAAAACAAAAAAAAAAAACCTTAAAAGAACACTAAGAAAAGTCAACGCCGGAAAGGGGCGAAAAATTCCGGAAAAAAAACAAAAGTCAACGCCAAAAACCGGCGAAAAAATCTGAAAGAAAGAAAAAAAAATTAAAAAAATATTGAAAAGTCAATGCCGGAATCCGGCGACAAATTTTTTTTTTAAAATTTATTTTTTGTTGGGAAAAAAAAGTTTTGGGTCAAAATTGAATAATTTGTTAAATTTGGGGTCAAATTGATATTAAATTAAGTTAAGGATGAAATTGGAGCATATTAAAGTATGCTCTAAAATAAAGTCAAAATTGAATTTTTGTGGTCAAAATTGGATTTTTGTGGACAAAATTGATTAAATTGGGGTTACAATTAAGAATTGGGTATTAAGGGTTGAAGGTAATATTGGCATATACATGAATATTTCCTTTATTTATAATAAATATTAAAGGGATGTGCTTATTAGTAAAAGAGATATGACCCCTAAACCTAGAATAATAAAGATGTTTGGTTGAGTACTTATGCACAAAAACCCCCTACATTTATAGTTCTCTCTTATATAACCCTGCAATACTTTTAATTTAATAGGCTGCACAATTTGAAAAAAAATCTATTTCTAATTTCAGCTACCCATTTATTCAATTATGTCCTTGCCATCTCATCAACACTATCACTAATTATGTCACTGCCACTTCATTAGGTGATTTTTTTTAATTTTTAATTTTTTTAATTTTTTAAATTGTTATTTTGTTTTTTAAATTTTTTTTCTCGATCATGTATATTAATCGACTATGAGATATAAACATAGTCGATTAAGAAACTGACTATTAAAAAAAAAATTATGTAAAAATGAAAATCAACACTATTTGTACATAACAAATAATTTACATAAATTGCTATTGATTTATACAAATAGGAACCCAAAAATGAATTAAAAAAATGAAATCAAGTAACCTTAATCGACTACCAAAACAATCGATTAACACTTTAATCGACTACCAGAGCATAGTCGACTAACTTAATTGACTATCGAAAAATACATAGTCGATTAAGAGTACAACCTGCGCGAATTTCTCTACCCGCGCCGTCTTCCGCCGGATCTACCAAAAAACCATAGATATGCTATTTTTCGTCACCACGCCACCGCTACACCACACCATCACCACCGTACTTCCATATTCTGACGGTTTTTAATGACAAATAAAGTAAATTACAACCAACAACCACCAACCCAAACAAAACCACCACCATCAAAAGCACCAATACAAAGCCACCCAAACCCAATTTTCTCCATCACCCATATCCAAAAAGAATTGGCAGCAAAATCAAATTAAAAATCCATAACCTCCGGCGACAAAGAAGAAATTTTCGCAAAATCGAAAAACTGTGGATAATGGAACGCTAATTGGGGTATTCGCGAGTGCAAGATCATCCGCCGCATTGTCGCCATAGTCTTTGCCGTGGATTTCCAGAAGTTGTTCGTGATTTAGGTCATGATGGTGGCGGAGGGGGAGAGAGATATCTGAGATTTGAATACTGAGAAGAGAAACGATAGATATGGTAGAGAAAAAAAAACGGGTTTGGAAAAGATGATATATAATTAGGGTTAAAATAGTTATAATCAAATAAAGATAGTTTTGGAATTATAAAAATATCATTTGGATAAAATATTAGATAAGAGGGTTTTCTCTGGTGTTTCCCTGCTAATTTTCTCTTATTTATAATAACGAATATAAGTCTAGTTACAGTTTAACTAGAATTTCTAATTTAAATATAAGTTACAGTTACAATTCTCGCATATCAAAAAATTATGAGGTCCTCGTTCAAAATTCATCTCAAAGATTTCCTCCTCATGCCCATTGTAAAGCAAACTTCTACTAATTGAAGTCCAAGAGATTAATATTGATGCAGAGGTGGCGGAGCCGAAATTGCCTGGGACCAAGTTTTTCCGAACCAGAACGACGAGGGGAGTTAAACTCACAGTTAAGCCGTGATGTGCGATGAATTTTGGCATTTCGAGGTCGTTTAGGCCTTCAAAACGGCGTTGTTGCTATTTTTAGGAAAATTTTAAATAATTCATAATTAACTCAAGAAAATTCGGATTTGAATTCCACAAGTTGGGATGTTTCCAACTTTCGGTATTCTATTAGGTTTAGGAGCTATTTAGTTTTTTGCCTTTTTTGGTAATTTTCTCGTTTTCCTAGTTTGATTAGGTTTTTCGTTTTCTTTAGTATAAATAGTTGCTCTAGAGTTTATTTTTCAGCATCTTTCATTATTAATAAAATTTCTGAGGATTCCAGAGTTATCGTGTTCTATAGAATTAATTCGTAGACATTAATTCTTTAGCGTGCTTCCGTTCTGCGTCAAATATGAGCTACACGAGACAATTGCGAGCTCATAAACATGTCCAAACAAATAAGAAGTCTTTGATTGTTCCTCACGTCTTATGCTCAATCTTAAATCCCAACAGAGATCGCCACTTAATGGAGTTGGATTTTACAGCCATCAAAATTGGCTCTTCTCGAACACCTTTTCTGACCCGTGATTGTCGAAAAATTGCTTCGTTTGACTGAAAAAATCCCATGCCTTGTGTCCCAGGGAACAATCCAAGCTCAAGTCAGTACGGAAAAAATAGGTCAAGAAAGAGTAAATAAGGAAGGAAAATGAAAGAGAAAAGGCACCTGAGAAACTAAGGAGTTATGCGTTTGATCGTGAACAATAATGGTGTGTGCAAGAGTTCGTATCTTCAAGTGGAGAATAATTTGTACTTATAGATAATACCTGGAGTCTTTGAATGAAAATATATTTCTTTGAGATTTGATCAAGATTCAGTTCTCTTCCATATAGGAAGAATCCTGCAACTAGGTTTATCCGTCGTCCCATAATTTACCGGATAATTCTTCGTGCGCAAGAGTAAAAGATAATTAACAAGACCAACAATGAGATGCCGAAATCCGCCCCCAGCAGTCCTTATGCGAAAACCTATTTTTACAAAAATATTAAAATTTCTTGATTTTATTTTTATTTTTTAATATCGGGGGTTAAAGCCCCCACCCCTTCACAGTTCCACTAAAAAATATGGAAACTTTAATCTTATAGTACATTCAGTACACAAAACGATCCATGATATTCGA